TAAATTTTTTTCAATGTCTTTATTCTGATTTATTTCACTTTTAGCTAAATATTTAGATTAGGAATATGTATTATTAAGTTACCTAAAATATATTATGCTCTTTATTTTGTACCTTAAATAGATTGTAAGATTATTATTTAATGGAATGAAAGCAAAGGGAAAATGCATCAAGCTTATTCAGGATTCAGCCTATTTTTCTCAAAATTTTAACATGGTATCAAACCCAAATTTTTGCCCTAACCACCAGTAGTCGTTGGAGGACCGTCAAAACTCCTTTCTCGCCGACTTTCTTGCGAGAAGGGAGGAATTATTTCTGTCTTGATTCGCCCATCTGACCAGAACCCCTAGCTTAAGAACGGAAAGCAGCACTTCAGGCCAGAATTCCCCACACTTCCCGCATGTACACTGTAGAGGACGAGCAATGATGGCTCGATTCCAATTACTACGCATTCTCCGTCTCTCTGGCCGCAAATTCTCCTTCTCCTCAAACCCTAATCCCGACCATAACCTCCAACCTAGCACGTTCTCCTACCGCTTCTTTCTGGTTTGCTTCGTCCCAGTCGCTACGGCTGCTTTGTTCGCTTCGTCTCGGGCTACTTCGTTCGCTTCATCTCGGGTTGCTTCGTTCTCTTTGATTGCATCATCCCCCTTCGATCTTCGGTGACGTCATCCTCGCCAGTCTTGGGTCACAATTTCCGAACCAGTCTCCTCTCCCTAATTTGATTTCTTTTGACATTCACGCCAATCAAATTACTGTTCAAAGACTCTCTCCCTTGATATTTTCTTATTCAAGCCGAAGGCGTTAAGTAGAGCCCAAATATTATTGTCCTACTCGTTCGTTCTACGTGGTGAACCCGATGGCTGCTTCCTACGTCGGCAGCATTTTCGACTCCTTCCACCTTCGACTGTTTCGCCTTGCTTCGTCCACTTCGGTTTCATCCAAACGCAACAATGGCTTCGCTACCCTTCACTGCTTCTGTCTGGTTCCGTCTCCCGCATCTGGTTCCATCTACGACTGCTTCGTCCGTCAGCTCGTCCGGAATCTCTTGTCATATGTTCGACGTCTAATTATTTGTTCGCCTAAGTCGTCCTCGTTCTACTTCGTCTTCCTCTTCGACTCGACTAGTCTGGACAGAGTCTCTCCTTCGTTCTAACTCCACCAGCAGCGGCTCCCGCTTCTTCATCACCTTCATCTGCACACCAACAAAACATTCCTTTTTTTCTACACGCCTGATCTCGGTTTCAGCATTGTTGGCGTGAAGATCAGAGAACAAATTGTCCTCGTCGTCGCAGGAAGAATCAATAGCATTTGGATCGTATAATAGGACGTGGATTCTACTTGTGGGCTATGGTGGGTAGCATTTGGATCAGGACGCGGATCCTATTGTAGCTATGATCGATAGCATTTGGATCGTGTCACTGGATCCTACTTGTGGACTACGATCGATGATCAGTAGCATTTGGATTAGGATGCGGATCCTACTTGTAGGCTATGATCAATAGCATTTGGATCGTGTAATGGATCCTATTTGTGCGCTATGATCGATAGCATTTGGATCGTGTAACTGGAAGCGGATCCTTCTTGTGGCTATGATTCGAATTTCTGCACTACAATGATGAAGAATTTCTTGTTTTTCTTTGCTCAAATTATGTTATGGTTTAAAAGTTGTCTCTTTCGGCTTCGACACTTTCGACTTCGGCACTCACGGCTTGAGGATTGTTGGTCCCAGCAGTGTTATCAGTTTTTTGCTAGCATGTGATCCGTTTTTTTTGGCAATTTGATGCTTCTTGATCAGTCAGCATCAATTTGAGGAGGGGGGGATGTTAATCATGAATGACGGAAATTGCCTTGCGAAGGAGAAGTAGAGGAGAAGACCTACTTGTCGTACGTGCGTCCAGAAGAAGACGCGACGTGTAGGAGAGAATCGAAGCTCGCATGGTCTTATGGGGTTGAGACAGGATCGAAGAAAGCAGAGCTTGCACGGTCAAGCCGACCGAAAGGAGGAAGAAGGGGAAAGCTTTGAGCTTGTGTATTGTCAAGATAGCCGAGAGTTAATAAAGTATTAAGAGATTTTGAATAAATTAAGTTATTTATATTGTTTTATGAACACACATTCAAATGTGTTATAATGTGCGGATGTGTTTAATAATATTACTAGCAAGTTTTATTGAAATCAGGACTAATATTAAGTGATTTCAATTTCGAAGGAGAAGTAGGAGAAACGTGCAAGAGGGAAAGAATCGAACCGAGCAACTTATATGGTAAATCTTCATCACATATATGTATATATATATGTACACATATACATATATGTACACATATATGTATATATATATGTACACATATACATATATGTACACATATATGTATATATATATGTACATATATCTATAGATATATCTATACATATGTACATATCTATATATAGATATATCTATACATATGTACATATATATATAAATATACATAGATATATATATAGTATAATGTTAAAATTATGTTTATTTGAATTTGGGATTTAAGAGGTTAGATTTAAGTATTTTGGATCGTAAATCTTGAAAGGAGCAGGAAAGATAAAAGCGGAGGTAATTTATCTTTTTTATTTATAATCATGTTTGAATATTATTAAGTAGATAAAATCTTATGGGCAAAACTGATAAAGAAGGGTTCTTAAGTAAATTATGCACTTTCATTTGATATAAGTGGTTGTCCAAAGGAGAAAAGCGAAGGGGTAGATATTTTAGAGGTCTCTTGAAAACAAGGTGAGTGATTATTTTCTTTTATATATTAAATTAATATTTTAATAAGTAGATAATTACTTTATGAAATGGTTTAAAATAAATTTTTCATTTATACATTGCATATTGAAAGTCCAAATTAGTATACAGGATAGTAGGAAAATAACTTACATATGAAGATACATTCAAAAGGATTTTAATTGATATGAAAGGTACTGACAGGGGATGCAATGTATCTGTACACGTTAAAGAAAATGATAAAGGTGTACCTTCGGGTAAAATTTTGAGAGTGTCTTCGGACACATTTTTCAAGGTGTCTTTAAGCATATTTTTTAGGATACCTTCAGGTATGACCGTAATCCTGTGATGACTTTTAAAAAGTTTTAAAATGGTAAATATTTAAAGTGAAACGAGAAGGAAAAAAGGTTAAAGTATCAATAAAATGAACTTCATTTTTTTAGGTCATTCATGCATAGCATAACATAAAAATTTAATACATAATAGATTATAATTACTCACAAAGTTACACTTACAGTTGCAATTAATATTTTCTTTCAAAAAAGAAAAGTTTTAGTTGATATGTTTGATAGGAGAGACATTATTTACCAGAAGATGACCACTACTGCCAGGTATATTCGTTATGATGATAGTTTCTCTTTACTGTTTCTTTCAAATATTGTTATGTTGTTTAGTATTGGCTTGAGATGTTGTCTTTGGATGTTAATGTTCTGGATGCTTTAAATTTATGGCACTTTGTGGAGTATTGACACTTATATATATATTGGAAGTTTTCAAAATGTGGATAGTTACATGTTAATACCAACTAACTACATTTCTTGCCTTGGTTAATTCTAAGCATCGGCCCGGGTCGTGACAAAGACCGACTTATAGTTGTATGGAAGAAAAAAACTTTCAGAAATTTTTAGCTTAAGAGATGGACATGTGATTTTAGTGTCCATCAACTATGTTATATTGCAATTTAACTAACAAAAATGGAGTTGCTTAGGTTAAGGGCAAGGAGACACCAGAGTTCCGAATATCATGATGGCTCGATAGGAATTCAACAAAATGGCAACACTACTAATAAAATAGTCTACCCAGGCAAAAAAAAAGGCACTAAGATTTGAGGATAACTTGAATAAGAAAATAAATTAAATAGCAAGATGACTACTAACTGGAAGGATATGTTACAGGGATAACATTAAAGGGTAATGTGATAGATTAAATTTTTTGTGCAGGATACATGTTATTAGGCAGGGAGTTGGAATCCAAGTGAGGGATTGAGAGGCATAAAAGAAGAGAATACAACAAATATCATGGATACAAGTCCTTTAGAAGGATCATGGTAAACACAAATATCACCAAATACTGCTCGTGATATAGAAATGGAGAGTGAAAAATTAAACTTGAAGCCAGAACAAACAATTTTATCAATGACAAACATACCGACTTCTTAAATCATAGTTGTTGAAAAGATGGATGCCTTATTTGGTTATTGTTTTCTTTTAGAACTGTGAGCAAAATTTGTAATCATAACGTACTGCAGCAGTAAATTGTATTTATGATTACAACAGATCAATTAAGAAATAAAATGGAATGTACAGAGAAGCACGTCATCCAATTTCAATTTGCTTCATTGCAATCGCTGGATTCTAAAGAAACAAAAAAATAATAATAACAATAATATGAAGTCAAGCTTCTTTCGAGTATGAATTGATATGCATGGAATAATACAAATTCTATCGGAAGGATTCCTTAACTAATAAATACATTCATCATCGTTAACTTCACACATAGTAAATTTCACAATTACTTGAAATTGGTTGTAAGCATGCATGTTCTCCATTAATTCAGAATGAATGCTAAATGAGGTTTTAACTCCATTTTGAGCAAACATTTTTGCGCCACCTTACCATGTTAAATTAGGTCTATCAATTTTCTAGTCTTACTCCATACAAATTAAACAATTAACCCGTCCTATTAGTGCAATTTCTATTCCCTTGTATCCATTCCCTCTATTTTACACTAACCTGTCTTCGATAAGTGCCAGTCCATTGCCTTCAAAAAGAATCATTTCTCAATCTATCTTTGATAGTTTTATAGCACATTCATCTAAACATACTCAAAGTCATATAACAAATCACATGTTTGCATTTCATTTGGTTATTTATTACTGTAAGAACTAATCAAGTACTTCTCACATTTTTGCATTAATGATACCAATTTTAACAAATCACCATCATGGTATAGGAAAACCATACCTCAAAAGCCTTAAGATCATCAAAGGCATCAACAGTTATATCCGTTAGTACAGGAAACAAAGCCCTCCGTAACCACTTTTGCATTTCTTGCTCGATGGACTCTGGTGTGAGGGCAGCAACGAGAAGTTGAAATCAGTTTAGTAGTGCAAATATTAAATTGATCAAAACAGAAAACCAATATATCATAGAAATAACATGTATTCTTGTTGCCAAATAAATGATTAGCACACTCCAACTTTGGTGTAACGAAACTCGAATATAGTTGAAATAGTTTTTTAATCTCTAAATTTGCCCTCAGAAACTCATGACTCTATCACCAAAAATTTATGAGTAAAAATTCCGATTCAGATGTTTGGCAAGATTAACTATAAGACATCGTGACTAGTAAATTTCAACTGAGTTCAAACTTCTCTCACCATTACGAGCCTCATTAGGTACCATAGTTGTCCTCATATGTAACAACCCCAATTTTGAGAAACAACTAAAATTTTAGCAATTTTAAAGGATACCCCAAATTTAGCATCCCCCGAAATCCAATCGAATCAATTTTATAAAATTATGTACGTCAAATCGAACAATTTGATATAAAGCACCATGTATGCATTTTTAATGTATGAGAATATATAAAATTATGAAGTTATAAGTTTAACTATCCTTGATTAATCTTGATTCTCTTCCTTAACACGGAATTATTGTAGTAGTCTGCCCTTCTTCGCACTTAGTCGTGCATGCATTGGTTGGATGGGATTAAATAACTAGGATTTATCGGGATCATGGTAAATTGTCTCACTGTCGTGACCTGACCCAACACTTAGAATTAACTAAGGCGGGAACTACAATCGAACGATATTAACATTTCATTTTATTTTCCACAAAATATTTCAAAGAACTTCTAATATATAAAAAAGTTACTGATCCACAAAGTGCAATAAAATTAAACATTCAGAAACGTCAACATAATATTAAAACCACATCTCAAACTAGTGATGAACAACAATGAAGGAAACAGTAAATAGAATCTACAAACATATCATAACTAGTATCTATCAGTTGCAGTCTTTCTCTTGTAAGTCAATTCTCTCCCACCAAACATATCAACTTAAATTTTTTCTTCTCCTGAAAGAAGAGATTAATTGCAACTGTAAGTAAAACATTATGAGTAATTATAATCTGATATGCATTAAATTCTCATGTTATTCTATGCATGAATGACCAAAAGAAAATGCAGTTCATTTCATTAAAAGTTTAAATTTATCACTTCACTTCTCATTTCATTTTAAGTATTTACCAATTTAGCATCTTTAATAGTCATCACAGGATTACCGAAATACGCGGATTTATCCTGAAAAATGTGCCCGAATACATCCTCAAATTGCAGACGAAGGTAACCTCAAATTGCACCTAAAAGCGCCTTTACAATTTCTTTTAATGTGCACGAGTACATCGCATCCCCTGTCAATACCACTTGGGGTAATCCTGCATAACTTAAACATTTATCTTTCATTTCATATGAATTGAAAATCATTTAGTGTGCATTCATCAGTGTGTTGTCTCTTTCTCGTCACTTATATTATTTCAGACTTTCACAATAAAATTCATGAATGAAGTATTGGGTGGGGTTTAAATCATTTATTGTAATTATTCATTTAATTAAAAATTTTAATGCATAAAAGAAGATAACCACTCACCTTAGCCTGAAGTGACATCTGAAAAAACTTATAACATCACAGTACTTCCTCTAGAACTTTGACCTCTCTATCATCTTTTAATTCAATTGTTTGATAAATTAAAATTATTAAAATTAGTTCATGAAAATTGTTGATCTGCAATTAACGCCACCTTTAATGAAACAAAATTTACATAATTAATACAAAAAATTTATAGATATTTACCTTTTCTTCTCGAATGATTTGCTTCATCTCTTCCTCAATTCCCAAGAATCTATCAACCTTTAATTCATGGTTAAAAGTTCTTCAATAAAAAGGCATTGTTTTAATTTGAATTTTTATCAATATTGTATAAATAACACACACAAACTCATTAATTAGCTTAATAAAATGTATCATACCTTAAAGTCTTTTAGTTGTCTGCAACACTTCCTTCACTCGCACAAGAAAAACTTGTCACCCTTCTCTTCTTAAATTTGCAACTTACTAACTTTAATCCTAATACAGTTAAACTTTTTGTTAACATTAATTAAATAATACCACTCTCCTATATACATATATATATTTAATCAATGTAATTAACTAAAATCACTTTATAAACATCACATTTAAAATCTCTCAGTCAGCTGCCCCAGCTTCATGCATGAAGGTTCACTTCTCTGCTTCCTCTCCAGCCTTCGGTCTCTGCTCGAAAGCGCGAGCTCGAGCTCCCTCCTCCTTCCTTCTTCGGTCTCGACTCAACTCAATAGAGCAGTGCATGGCTATGACTCTCTTTCCTCTTCTTTTTTCTGCATGCAAGCACCACAAATCGCATCTCTTCCTTTAACACATTTCTTCCTTTAACACATTTTTTGCTTCCACTACAAAGTATTCTAATTTTTGCAAAGGACCAAATAATATGGGCGTCTTTTTAGGGTAAATTCAACTTTCCATGCGCATTAGCAAGGCGTGTTTTGTGAATAACATTTGTTTGAGTAATTTTTGACAACAATCACATCAAAATCACTTTGAGTCATGCTACTTTGTGCCCGAACCTCGTCATTTTCAACGTGCTTGCTTTTTTCAGTTATAGAAGGTCTCTTCCTAAGTAATTTTGATGCTTGCAAATGGATTTCATTGGATAGTATCAAAAGTGATTAAAGCAGTTGAATTTGATACGGTTGCACCGCGCCAGTAGTTTCTCACCGTCATAATTTTTAAACTGACTTTGTTCATATTTCAACTCACATCACATAGGAGCATAATGTGTGGTTCAACAACCATGGAAGCCATTTTCATTTTCAAACATAAGACATCCTAACACAAATTAAGCAACCAAACCATTTCCCCATAGACCATTATCTGAAAAGCTTTACAACTTTGCAATACTTTTAAAACATGGCCAATACAAATATTCTCATATAACTTTCTATTATGTGGCAAGACTTAAGATCTATTTGGGACAACTTTAGCTGCCTATAAGAGAATATAAAACTTTTGTTGGGATAGTAGATTTTTGGATTTTATTGGATGTGTTTCATTTTCTTACTGTTAAAAAGGTTGGATATTAACATTCTTATAGCTACCAAGTTTTTAGTGGATATGGTTAAAAAAAGGGGCATATACATACATAGCATACAAATATAATGCATTTACATATATGACACCTAATCTTTCATATTTACACACACAACACTCAAATCTTTAATATCACATCAGAAATAGCATTATGATCGCTTTCTAAAAGTGAAATACACCTTTTTAATGCATAGATTTAAGCACCAAATAGTTGTGAGTATAAATATTGAAGTTTAGTTGTGAGATATGTAAATACATAAGAATTGTGTGCAAGTTATAATTTCCTTATAAAAAAAATTGCTTCTCAAAACAAACAATTTCTCAAACAAGCAAGTTGGAACAAAACAGAAATGTGAGAAGCAAGTTGGAACAAAACAGAATTGTGAGAACTTTCAGAAGTACAAAGCTGTGAAGAAACTACACCAAACAAACCATTAATAGCACGCAACTATTCTCTTGATGCTTGAAACCTTTATATCCCTTTTTCAGCATGACAAATCTACTGGTAAGAGGTGCACTTGAGTTCTTTTGACCCTACATTGCTAAACGAGCCAAAAGGTCATATAATATAGTCAGGACATCCTTGGCTTCTAGATCTAGTCCAGTAATCTTGCAACAATAGGATGGTACAGATGTTGAACAGTTAGTTTCATTAAAATTGCTAAGTTGTACAACAATAAATTATTATTGTTTTGAATGTTTAAACATGGCATGTTTCCCTGTAAAATATTAGTTCGGACATGCAATAATGTGCATCTGTGGTCTTTTGGTTACTAGAGTAACTTTAACAATAAATAATGTGTGATAACATTAGAAATCCTTTTTTTAGTAATATATTTTTATTCCCTTACACAGATAAAAACTTATTGGGAGAACTTAAATGTCAAACAACTCGTGGTGCTTTCTAAAAGTGCCCCAGGATGAAGACAATCAGCAATAAGAGAAGAAACAGTAATCTGGTAGAGCAAAGTATAAAAAAAATTTAAGAATAAAAAATTGCGGAGCAAAATGGTTTTGAACTGCATAAACTTACCTTGATCATATGCAGCACCATATTGACCTCTACTTAGTGATGACAACATTTGCAAGAAATAATGATTGCAATATGAACCTAGAACGATGTAAAAAAAATCAAAAGCAGTGGAGAAGAAAAGGAAAAGGAATATGTAAAGACAAGTTAAAAGTTCAGAAAAATTACTTTGCTGGTGAAACCAACAATATTAACAAGGAACAGAAAACATAATAATAAAGAACATTAAAAGAAAAAACAGTCCGAAAGGAAATAAAACGCTCAAGAAAACTAGGGCACCCAGCACCAAGGCTAGAGTGATGTTGAAACAGCCTGACCAACCTAGTGTCCAAGCCTATGCTTTTAAAGAAAAACAGCAGAAGAGGAAACAAAGAGATAAGTCATACAAAGAGTAAATCCAAATACTCATTTAGCAGCATAGTCTAACAACTAATGGGAATGGGGAAAAAAAAACGCAAGTGAAGTTTCTCTTCTTGAATCTAGGGAAGTGATTTATGGTAGAACCCTTCAATTATAGTTATCATAATCATCAGACACATTTTAGGTTTGACCACAAAGCCCCTTCAATATTCACCTTGTTGAGTGCTACATAAAATGTTAATTTTACAAAGGCTTTTGCACATCTTATAGCTTTGCTACTTTCAGTTCAAGCCATTTTCCTTGATATTTCTAATCCTTGTAAATCAATCAACATCTCTGGTGCATCTCCTACCCTCCATTACAACAGCCAAATTTATTTCTACTGTCTTACCTTAAATATTTGCAATAATTTTCTGCCTCTCTACTTGTCATGATTTATTCACTCTTCTTTCTTATTGTTTTCTCTTTTTTCTCCTTTTTCTTTTGATCTACTGCTAACCACTCCAACTCTCTTCTAAAAAACACATTTCAAGAAATCAATAAACAGAAAACAATAGAAAACCAACACAATTTGGTAAACTAGACCTGCTAAATAAATTGTATAACATCAAGATCTTTCAGAACTTGAACATCGTGAGTAACAAATTTTGCAACTAAAAGGCCATTTGGGATCAATTTGATTTATTTTATTTATTTATTTATTTTGTTTACGTTTTGCTTTGAAATAAAATATGTTTGTCAGTTTTGATATTTTTTTCTAAATACTGAAAGCATTTAAATGTTATTTGAGTGATTTTAAAATTAAGTTGATTTCTTTTCAAAAGCAAAAAATAATAATGCATAAAAAAGGCTCCGAGAAAATATGATCTTAACAACAAAAACAAAAGCCAAAAATGATCCCAAACAAGCCTTAAGTTGTTGGAACATTTTGCAGATATGGAAGAACTAATAATAACCTCAAGGTGTCTATTAAAGCAGTAGATTCTTTCAATGAATTATGGTGAAGATTACACCAAAATTTCAGTGGAAGGCTTCAATAAATTACCTATGCCAAAAGTGCAAATTCTTGGGGACATAGATCCTCCATTTTCTACATGAGATTTTACAGTATGACAGATAATACGTTCATTCTCCACTGCTCCATCCGTTATGAGAAAAACATATGGGACTGCGTTCTTTGTACTGAATAACAAACCTTGAGACTGAATACAGAAAAAAGAAAGTTATGATGAGTGTGAAATGATAAAATAGGCTGCACTTAGAAGATTTCAAAGAAATAAAATAAAATGTGTTTAAAGGCTACAACCTGAATGGAATTTTCAGCAAACATCCTCAACGCCTTGACGCAGCAGTAAAATTAGTGATATAACTGGCAATGATTAACTCCTTATCACCCAGATAAAGATTCAGTAAACACTAAAAAAACATCTACCTCGTTCAGGGGTTGCATAATATCAGTCCCACCATACGCGACAAAATTTTTGCTTATCCATCGTGTAGTGTTTCCTAACAGGTCTGAATTTACGGGCAGCAGAGATGAGGAGAAAGGGGACATCTCATCGTTGAAAGCTATTATGTTGAAATAATCGGTTGGAGCAAGCTCTGGAAGAATTGAAAGTAAAGCACTCTTAACACTCTCAAGAGGCTTTCCTTGCATGCTTTCACTTATATCAACAAGAAATATAACTTCCTTTCTGAAAACCTAATACAGAAATAAAATAAGACCAAAAAAAAAAGGCCATTTGCAGAATACAGAAGACGGGTAAAACTTTGGGACATAAATGCCCGTGAGAAGATGAATAACTTAAGTAAGACACAATTAGCTAAATAAAAAAGGTCGTAATGAAGGAGCTCATATTTTGTCCATCTAATAATAATAATTGTCATACTGAAGCTTATCTAGCCTGATAAGTTAAGTGATCCAAATCTTGGGATTTCTTAGCTGAATGAATGAATAAGAAAACCAGCAAGATGATCCTCGATTGAGAAAGAATCTTCATCTCTCAAACTTGTCATAATTTTTAAAATTAAGCGACAAAATTTTGAGCTCGTTAACTTCAACACGTCGAGTTAAAGAAGCGTAAATTCGTTTATAGTTCAAATATAGGACTCAAACAAGCCGTGAAGGTCGAACTTAACAAGCCTAAATATAATTAAGTCGTTGACTGCTCTCTTCACTCACAAAGTCATAAAAATGGCAATAGTGAAGAAGCACTTGTCTTGTCCATGTAATTACAGTAATTGTCCTATTGAACCTTATCCAAAATGACAAGTTAAGTGATACAAATCTTGAGGTTCTCTAAGTTGATTTAATAATTAAAGTAAAACCAAATAGATGATCCTCGATTAAGAAAAACTATCATCTCTCCGACATGTCACAATTATGAAAGTTAAGTGAGAGAATTTTGAGCTCATGATCTTCATCATGTCAAGTTGAAGAAGTTCAAGTTTATTTGCAGGTTAAGTCTAAGACTCAAGCCAGTCCCAACACAACAAACCAAATAAGGTTGAGCCGCTGACAACTCCCTTCACTCAGCAAATCATAAAAACGGGCTTAGTGAAGAAGACGCTTATTTTGTACATCTAATGATAATAGATATCTACTGAAGCTTATATAACCGGATTAGTTATCAAAGTATTGAGATTCTCTCTACTAATTGAATGAGTAAGGCAAAATCAAATAAATAATCATGCTTATGCCTCACAAGTGAAGGAGTTATCAAACCTATGTCAACACAATACGACTATGGTCATTCCTCACTCTTGAGTAAGTTAAAAGAATAACTGAATAAAAGATATCATCAATCCTTATTGGAAGAGGAGTCATCAAAGGTTAGCTGGAAGGAGTCAATTTTAATTGTTCCTCACTCTTCGTTAAAAGTTGTTATGCAAGCCCCATAAAAAGTCCATCAAGTACTTCAAAAAGAGCACAAGTCAGAGAAAAATTTAGAAGATTATTTTCAAAACTCTCTTATAATTTAAGAATATGTTTCTAACCGATCATAAAATTCTTCATAAGACGGGGCTTTCTGTTTGTTTTTTGGGTTGACATTACGCTCGTTGACAAAATCCTCAAATACGTTCTATCAAACAAGAGGCCCCTCTTTTTGAGACTAATAACAAATTTATGGTTGAGATCCTCAACAACAAGGTTTGACATTATGCGTAACATTGATATCTCATTCATTTGGGTTGACATTATGCTTCAATGCCGAAATCCCCACCCACTTGCCCATCAGGCACATATAGTCAATATTTTGAAACACCGAGGTCATGTCTTTTAGCATACCTTCCTAAATGGCGCGCATAGAACTTTAGATGCAGAAATGAGACAAATATAGATTTTTTCTGCCACATTTGAACAATGCAACGAGATATAATTTAAACAGATTTACTCGCCGCATTGAAACAACGTGAGCGAGTACATATATTTTCCTATGTAAACCTTATCTCAGGCTGGATGTCCACATATATATA